AGAAAATACTAACTTATTGTAATTAGGTTTAGTAAACTCACTTATTATTTTGAAATAAGCCTTTTTCCAATATCGTTCTTCTGGAAACATAAAATGCACCTGTTTCTATTAATTCTCCGTTCCAATCCTGTCGCCTAGGCCGATTGAAAACATGAAAATTCAAGGGAAATACATTTCCATTTTCGTAACGCCAGCGTAAACTATAGCTTCTGAAACATTGTTCATATAGTTAAGTCAATAAATTACTGTTAAGAAATGTGACATACTTCTACTGAAAAATGTATTACTGGCAATTTCGGTGATAAGCAAAGGTACAGGTTCTTAAAAAGTTTAATTTTAATCAAAAACTCACCTGGCTACTGAAAAGACACAATCGACTGGTTTTGGTATATTTAGTTTATTTAAAGCAAGCCTTAACTGTGAAGGTTTCGTAAACGGTGACGTGACTTGAATCAAAACTAATGTATTTATTTCACTATTAGACCACAAATATTCTTGAACTCCCCAAATGGACGGAGCCCAGTCAGTGGCCGTTACTTTACTACGTTTAAAAGGAGTAGCACCACCTTAAACAAAATTATATTTTGACAAGAATTACCTAACTGTGGTCCTACTAATAATTAGTATCTTTAATAGTTGTTTTTCTGAAATTTCTTCATGCAATACTGAGAAAATTTAAAACATTAGGAGCTGTAGGTAGATCCGTACATTGATATAAAACTCTAATGTAAATTTAAATTAAAAAAAGGGATATTTTGATTATGTTGATGGCGGAATTCACATCTATATGCCCCGTCAACCACTTAATAACAAGGTGGGTCATGAGGTCGCCCATCCATCAATGCAATAAATAATCCTATCCAAAACTTTTAAGACGTAAAACGTTTACTCACAAGTCACTGCCTCCAAAGCAATTAATGGATGATCCGTGGACACAACCACTTGTGTTAAACCAGATCTTCTGGCTGTGATAATTGCGCGACACAAAAGACTTATTCCACCAACTGTTTGTAGATTTTTCAAGGGAATCCCTTTCGAGCCCCCTCGAGCTAGTATGAGCACGCCGATATCTTGACTTTTTGTAGATAAAATTGATCTGTGATATTTATAATATAAACGTTTCTTCAGTTTTTCACATTAATGTTACCTAAATCGTAAATTGAATAACTAAAAATAAAATCAAGCGTACCCAAATTAAACAATAAAAATAGGTCGCGGTCTCTCGGCATAATATGAGGATTTTAACAATACCCCATATATCTAAACCTGTGCTGGTGTATAAAGTTATTGTGGAATAATTAACCGTACAGCATAATATATACATATTCAAACCTTGAAAATATCACACACATTTTTCGAGCAAATTTTTAAAAGGTCTATGGCGATACATTATCCGGGAGCAAAATCCCTCCTGTTTATACTAGAGTCGCCCGAAAGCCTCACCCTTTTTATTCCTGTCAGAGCAACGGTAACTAGTTTTCATCAGGTCGTATGCTTGTTTGTATACTATGAAAATAAAAAAATCCTTCTCTCCTCCCATCTACCTACGTTAATCTTGGTACTTAAGTGCATCTTTCATATACATCTCGACGCAATCAAATTAACGAACTTCCGCTACCCACTTATTCATCTATCATTTCATTTTATCATTATAGTTTCTCAAAGCGTGGCCATATTACGCTTGCATATCTCCAATTAAGAATATTACCAATTTCTCTGCTAGCAAGATGACATTCCTTTTAAGCTTCTTTTGAAATTCTCATTCTTCACCTTATATCTCCTGGCCCAGCATAAACCACATTTGACCATTTACATGTTTAGTTGTTCAACACTCCGTCCATACTTAGGTTCCAATATTCGTATTTTATAAAACTTTAAAATTAAAATTAAATCGACTTATAGTGTTGTCTATGGAACACTAATTACAAAGAAAAGTAACAAATTAGATATGTCAATTAAAATCAATACACTCACAAGCATAAAAAAACGAGCACTGGACACAACATAGTTCCGTGGAAGTCTCTGGAACACTTTATTGATGTTTCCTCTTTACCGAACGCCGGATTGAGCAATCGAAAGAGTTACAGCTATTACTGCGCAAATTTGAGGGCTAGAGAAACGGAACCCAATGTCTGCATGCGCGTGTCATTAAAGACCAAAGTCAGTTACTTTGGGCAAACATTGTGTGATGAACAGATTTGTTCGCTCTCTGTCTGGGTGCTTATTATTTATACATATATATAAGTATGTTGTAAGTCTCTGGTACCTATAAGACAGGGAATCCTAAATTAGGCCGGATGACCGTGCGTGATTTGTTACCAATTATTATTATTTACCACCTGCTTTCTTCAGCTGCGATGTGGTCAAGTGACCCGGCTTAAAGAGTAATGGCGTTTTCACAATACAATTGAGAGTTTTACCTCATGTTTCACGGTAATTGACGGTATTCACTCTGCTCTGCTCTCGTTCCAGGAAACAACTCGGCTTTGGTAATCACTTTAACCCAGATTTACCGTGAATTCTTTCACTCATCTAAGCCACTGACTGTACCTAAGCTCGCCAATAGCAGATAGAATTATTGTTTCTGCCTTAAATAGGCAGCCTATCCGGCCTATGTCGGAGGTTTGTTAAGCGGTCATCACAACACACGGACCTCACGTGCGATCAAACTATTAATCAGATTAGCATCACGCCCAACCCCTTTTGCATCAGCCGTACTGTATATAAAAGGAGGAAGCCGCATGCAACATGCCTTAACACCAGTACCTGTTCAAGATAGTTTTTTTTTTTTTTTTTTCCTACCTAAGCTGATAGCCCTAGGGGCTATTTCAACGTAACCCTAACTTTAGTAGGTGAGCTCACGGGGCTCAAACCTGATGACGTTGCTAACACGAACCCTAGCAAGAGCCGTGCTTCGCAGAATCTACCACCGGAAACGCGACCCACTGAAAAGATCCGGCGAGAAACTCAGTGGGCTGTGTCTGAGAGTTAATTTACTCGTCGAGCCCTTCGTCGCAAGCGACTAGTTCGACGAGAACGGTGACCGGTGTTTGAAGTACCTAAAAGCACCGTTAGTGGATCGGGAGGATCCGAGATGACGTGTTTTGGGCGACGACGACTGCTTTCCATTCTGTCCGCAGGATCGGGAATGTACTTACTGGCGGCCACGATGAGAGGGTTCTCGTGTCGTGCCGCTTTATCGAAGTGGTCAAGATAGAAGGAGATAGGACTAGTATAGGGTTATCGAATGAAGAATTGGATTGGAGAAACTAACGTGAAGATAGAGCTTATCACAGACGTTTATTAAGTTGTTGATGCATTAGACACAGTACGGCGACTACCAGAATAATCTTGAAACTTGAGATGGGAGATTCATTTGTTTTGTACAATAGCTATGCTACGCTTGAAACCGGAACTTAAGACTACTTCGTTCCAGAAATAGAATATACCGGATCCACCAAACATACTCCTGCGGGTTATAACAACAAAGTATATCGGTTATGCTAGTCATAAATAGGCATATTTTGCAAGGTGAGAAGCAATGAATAGCACGTATCTATAAGGAACATGACTTTAAAAAAAGAACCTAACGAACACTTTGTGACATTTCTTATCAACTGTTGTTGTTGTAGATAATAATATAATTATAAAGTGACGTTAGGATGGTGTTATGCGCGATGTGCTCATTGATACGATGAGATCATTCTTGTTTTTTTTATTTATTGTTTAGATGGGTGGACGAACTCACAGCCCACCTGGTGTTAAGTGGTTACTGGAGCCCTTAGACATCTACAACATTTAGACTTATTTAGCTTTATTTATTTACCATTTAGACTTTAACATTGTGTCATGAAAATCAAACTTGTAAAAATTATAATTTGAGTAATTACCGACAACTTACTTATAATCCAACAACTTGGAAACAACAACAACCAAAGACAACTTGGAAAAACTAATAGTTGTAGGTCACGTGGAAGGAAAGAGAAGTCGAGGAAGATTGCCAACAAGGTGGACGGACATTGTCAAGGAGGCCACAAATACCAGCGTCCCGGGCGCCTTTATACAGGCCGAATGCAGGCAACACTGGAGGAAGCTGGTGCAAAAACTAAACCAAGGTGGTCACGACCCTCAGTAATGAGGAAGCGACGAAGAAGAAGAATTACCGATGGTAAAGCATCTTGTACGCTCGTCGGGTAAGTACCACTGCCACCACCCTGCCTATTTCTGCCGTAAAGCCGAAAAGCGTGTCGGTTTAAAGGGTGGTTTTTTTTTTATTCCTACCTATGCTGATAGCCTTGCGAGGTTATTTCAGCTTCGTCCTAACGTTTGTAGGTGAGCTCACGGGGCTCAAACCGGAGTGTTGCTAACACTGACCCTAGCCAGAGCAGTACTTCGCAAAATCTACCACTGGATCGGAAACGCAACCCACTGAGAAGATCCGGCGAGAAACTCAGTGGGCTGAAGGGTGGGGCAGTCGTTGTACTGTAAAACTGAAACTGGTGTCTCAAGATGGGTGGCGGCATTTACGTTGTTGATGTCTGTTAGCACCAATAACCACTTGAGCAATATCATGTCGGTCCTGAGTGCGGGCATCTATCGCAGCAATAAAAACAGTTTCGTTTAAAAAGTCGCACGGCCTATTTTACAATGCGTTTGAAAATTCAATCTAACGTCTCAAGACAGCTGCGTTTACATTAAGACGTCTATGGGCACCCGTAATAGGTTAACTTCATGTAAAGAAAAACCTTCATTGTCTAAAACTCTTTAGTTTTCTAAAAACGTTTTTTCTTGAATGTCATTCAGTGAAGGCTTAAATTCAGTAAAAAGAAAGTCAGTTTGCTTAAAATAGTAATTTTATTAGATTAAGGGCTTTAAATGTTGTTTCTTATTATACATATAACAGAAAACGCAATTGAGCCTTTTATTTTTTATTGATTCTGATGTAACCAATATCATTATAAAACAACATTGAATATGAACCGAACTGTTATCATGTCAATCCCTATTACCTGATACCTAAACCAATTTGGTACTTACAAAAATATATCCGAATAAAATAAAAATTATTGGTTCCGTTCCATTGCAGGCATTCATTACGCATCTCATGAGATAAACCGCGAAAAGAACCTATTACAGAATAACTATTCCTTTATCCTCCTTATTCAACAGGGACTTCACCTCTTACACGGAAGATTCATTTAAATACATCCACACCGCAACTATTCTCTACATTCGGTCTTGAGGAGCGAAACTTGATACAAGTAAGTACCAACTTTGTTTTGTGTTTTTTTTTGCTTAGTTTAGTGGACGAGTTCGCAGCAAACCTAGTGTTACCTATGTTGTTACCGAAACCCATAGGCAACAACAACGCAAATGCCGTCAGCCATCTTGAGACATGAGTTCTTAGTCTCAGTTTGTATTACTCTTCTTTGCTTCCGCAAACGAACAAATCTAAGTCCTTAACTTAACGCGACAGACGTTGTCAACAAATCTATTTTTTTTTTATTGCTTAGGTGGGTGGACGAGCTCACAGCCCACCTGGTGTTAAGTGGTTACTGGAGCCCATAGACATCCACAACGTAAATGCGCCACCCATCTTGAGATATAAGTTCTAAGGTCTCAAGTATAGTTTTGTCAAAAGTCTGTTAACTTTGATGAATCGTCAAATGAGAATGCAGTTTTTAAAACACTCTTTAAATTGTAGTCTCTTTTTTCAGATGACAATTAACTAAAAGTACTGTATTATTCGAGCTGATAATTAATTATACAAATGAATATAGCCATGTTTAGAATATCCGCGCTGGTCCGATATATCCCGGAGGACACATTCCACATTAATATGTATATTTTGTACTAGTTTTTTTTTCTTTTTTTTTATTGCTTAGATGCGTGGACGAGCTCACAGCCCACCTGGTGTTAAGTGGTTACTGGAACCCATAGACATTTACAACGTAAATGCGCCACCCACCTTGAGATATAAGTTCTAAGGTCTCAAGTAAGTTACAGCGGCTGCCCCATCCTTCAAACCGAAACGCATTACTGCTTCACGGCAGAAATAGGCAGGGTGGTGGTACCCACCCGCGCGGACTCACAAGAGGTCCTACCACCAGTGAAGACCCGCAAACTGGTGGAACCCTCGTTGGTTGACGATGCCATCCAACTCTTTCATTAGGAGAGCTGTTCACATGTGTATCATCTGATTTTATTTGGAATGAACTTAATGAATCGTTCTTATTGTTTTAGCTCAAAATGAATTCAAATCTGTTTTATATCTTCGCTACAACTCTGGTGTGTGTTAACGCAGAAGTTTACGGACCTTCTGATTACGCGGAAGAGTGAGTAGACTTGTTTAAATATTATTACTAATCTCATATTTAATTTACATAGATTTACAAACGTCTCAATTTCTTAGTCCATAGTTTAAAATTACCATATGAAAAAAATGTAACGTCTGATATAGGAACATCCAAAAACTCGACAGTTTTATTAAGTACCATCTTCTTCCATTAGTATTTTTAGTTAAAACAGTTAAGTACCAATTTCTTTTGGTAGTAGTAATTAACAAAGTTTAGTATCATTATCTAGCAAAAAAATATCCTGGCAACAATTTTCTCTGAAAAAAAAAGAAGAAGAAGAAAACAGTTGAGTACCACTGTCTCCAATGTTTGTCAACCGGTTTTGTTAATTTATTTGCCTAGCAGCTATTGTCGATGATATGACAATTTAATTTGAATTAATCTCTTCTTTTTCGTAATTGCAATAACAAAACCAAAGAGAAAATGTAACTATTAGAACGAATCGATCTTAAGGATCACACAGACACGTGATTATGTTCGAATCTCAATCACTGACCGAACACTAGGAATTGTAATTACTTACTTTTCAGTTACTCGATCAGCGGGCAATCCTCAAGGCGACACCCTCGTGACGTCACTTGGGACAAACAAATGGGGGGAGGCAAGGTCTTTGGCACTTTGGGACAAAACGATGATGGACTCTTTGTAAGTATAAAATAAATTTTGATCCCATCACGTGAGACCTTATAGACTTATAGAAAGTGTTCCCCGAACTCTATAAAATGTTTTCTCTGCACACGAAAACACAAATGGGCTCATGCATGGCCTAGTTCAGATATTTGTGAACAACGATGATTAAAATTAAAAATCTTAAAAAATTCAAAGCTCAAATTTCGTCATGTTAATCGATCATAAGAGTTCCCACGTTGATCAATAGCCATTTATCACTTATCTCGAGGCATGTATAGATAGAAGTCTTCACTGTAAATTTCAAACCGCTTCTGGGTCCTCAAATCCCTTGACGGGGGCATGGCGCGGGCCTCGGGAACCCTTCCTGTCTGGACTGGAACCCCCCGCCCTTCCGGCAGGAGTGATTAGTCTGCTGGATGGTGATGAATTAATGAATCAGTGGCTAGATCGATGTATAAGGTAATTTCAAACCTGCTTTATAAACAGAAATGAATGATCTTAACATGCGTAATCCTTGTAAGCAAACAATGTTTGATGGACCAATTAATTGTGTTTCAGGGAAAAGCTGGTTACAACAGAGAGATCTTTAATGACGACCGCGGCAAACTAACCGGTCAGGCTTACGGCACCAGAGTTTTAGGACCTGGAGGCGACAGCACCAACTACGGCGGACGCCTAGACTGGGCGAACAAGAATGCTCAAGCCACTATTGACCTAAATAGACAAATCGGTGGCAGATCTGGGGTTAGTTTTAGTACTATATAAATATGTATTTTAAAACGGAGCCTTTCGCTTTTCACTACAGGCGCCGATACTATCTGTACAGTCTGGGGCCATAAGTCAACCTTTTTCTATAACATTTTGCATACATACACGATCATTGTCTAGTCAGAAAAAATGCGACTCGGAGAGTGTATAAGTGAGAAGTCATAATTGTCTTAAGGATGTCCTGTATAATCTTGTACATGAACTTAAAGCCTCAATCGCATAATGAAAATCACTACAGTTAAATACAGTGGGGCAAATTCTATAGAGCGCGATGTCAAACATTAAAACTACTGCTTAATAATAATTGGTTAATTTTATGTTTTCTGACATATTCGGACAAGGATTTTTTGTCGATAATTCTCAGCAATTAAATTGCACTTCGAATTTGGGTTCTTGTTAATTATGTAAGTGGGTGTGCGAAAACACAGCTCACAAGCCACTACAAAAGTGGTTAACAGTCTGCTTAGTGCGAGTTTTTTAACGTTCCCGATAGCATAAAAATTAACTCAAATTTGTATGCATGTTAGAGCAGCATCCCTAGCGGCAAATGTAGGCAAACGTTTCAACTCCGTACAAATTTGAGTTAGCGTTTACGCTATCGAGAACTTTAAAAAACTCGCACTCAGCACGCAGAGCCCATACATCAAGGGAGGATCCAGCTTTGGCGCCAGGAGGGGGTCACATAGTAAAATTTTCGATGCGTTCATTCTGCCATCATACAAAGTTATTATATTATATTAAATTAATTAAATATTGAAGGTATGTAGTTACATAAATTCTGTATGGTGTCAAAATATATAAATAAAATCATTATGTTCAATTAGTGGCTCACCTAAGTCTTGGAAGCAGCTCGGGGGGGGGGGGTCATAACCCCCATGACCCCCCCCTGGATCCGCCTTTGCCATACATACACCCTCCAACTCCGTTCCAACTCTAACGATAGATAATACACTACTCTAATTTCAACGCCACTCGCCTTGACACATGATAGTCTAGAATAGTCTAGATTTTCTATGATATTTCATGGTTTTATGTGATGAAAATTTAATAACTGATCATCGATTTCAAAGAACTGTGAAGTCCTCCGAAACTATCTGATTAATTGTCATTTACCAACGCAAGTTTTAATTTTTTATGTTTTTTTTTACAGATGACAGCATCAGGCTCCGGTGTGTGGGATCTGGATAAGAACACCCACTTTTCTGCCGGTGGTATGGTCTCGAAGGAGTTCGGTCACAAAAGACCAGACGTCGGTCTTCAAGCAGAGATCCGCCATGATTGGTGATCACCTCAACACTTAAACAATAATCTTTTGCCAAATAAATTAGTTTTTTATTATTATTGTAAGTAATATTCAATATAGGTTATTCTTGATTGTTTTATCTAAAATCGAAATTTACGAAGTATGTCTAACTGTAAGTTTGTTTCATAATTTAATTAGATAAATAGGATCTCGTGCTTTGTTATGACGGTTAGAAATACAATTTAATAAAAAAAATACGTTTCCTAAATTTCCTTGCATTTTATTTTAAGTAAATTAATCAACCATCAACATTGAATTTGTTTTGGAACATGAATTGGCCTTTTCGGGAAGAAGTAATGCCTAATAAAAATATAAGAAAATCGAAACACCTTCAGACTGATATGTTTGTTCACGTCTTTACAAACTTTATATGAAAAAAAAAAACAGATTATGCGAATCCAAAAACTTCATTTCACCAAAATACCTACTTAATTAAAATAAAATTATCTCAATAAATTAAGTTTAAAAAAAGAAAAGAAAAATCAAACGCGGCGTCTCGGTGACCATTTCAGTGACATTTTCTCGTAGCTAGCAACATTCTCCTCATTTAGACCGTGTCGTGCATATCTATGTTCGTGTTCAGTGGACGACATTAGTGCTGAAAAAAAACACCTTATTTATATAACTACATATTTTCCATGCACGGGCCTCACGATTTTTTAATAATTGTCTATAACATTTCTATAAAATGGATTGAAGCGCTGTAGAAATAGTCATATCTGTAGCGACATACTCGCGCGATCATTTCTCTTGCGATTAATTTCGAGTCACAGTAATCGTGACATGCGCATGGCGCGAATTACTTTCAAGAATAGAATCTTAAAGGCACCCATGACGATCTTACATTGACGATTAGTTGCATTGTCTTTATTAGATTAGTCGATTCTTGCATTAACAGATGACATCACAGACCATTTATTTTAAGTATTTTTGCCACTTTCACATAGCGCACAAAACGAAATATATTTGGAAAATTTGTGGGAAAATTAAAACCGGTTTGCACTTACGAAATTGCTTAGTATTTTTGAAAGTATCTTTTTTTACTGATTTATTAACACCAGTAGTAGAACCAGAGCTCGAGGCTATAGTTCTAGCTGTAGACGGTTCGCTGTCTATCCCCAGTACATCCAGTGCTCGCATACGTTCGGCTATTTGGTCGTTTACTATGTCTCTGTGCGGACCAGCTTCTCCCAACTGCTCCATTTCACTCAGCCACTCCACACGTTCACGAATTTGATTCAATACTGAAATTAAAGAGACATTTCTAAACGTTTGAATTAGGTTTTAAACCAAGAAACAAAGTTTTTTCTAATAACTAGTTTAAAAATTAGGTGTAATAAACAGATGAGTAATTGTGTTTATTTATTGGAATAAAACAATGTTTGGAGAGCCTAAAAGCTCAGACAAGACATGCTTTGGGCGACAGCGCGGCGGCGCCGCGTCTGTTTTACTTTGCCCCGTCGCCTGTGTCGACTATAAAATGAGTGCCGGCCACGATAAAAGGGTTATCGTGTGGTACCATTTTATCAAAGTACCATTTTGACTATTGCATGAGATTAAAATGTTTTTTATAGTTTAATTTCATATTTGTGTGTGTGATTTCTGTGCATGTCGTGATTATGAAAAATGAATTTGAAATGAAAAATAAGTTCCGTAGATTGGGGGAATCGGGACCCTTTCCAAATCCAACACAAATTTTCAATAGTTTTTCTTCTTCTTAAAATAGAGATTAAAATGGTTCCTTAAATTTTTATATACAATGCTTTATTAATGTTATTATATTATACATCGTTCATTACAAAATATACACAAAAACTGAAAAAATTTGCTTGACCTGGTTCTCCTTGGCTTTGGGGTGATGGGATGGGATTACGTATGGGGACAATAAAGTGCCTTATTCACGATCCATCTTGCTGTACGTCCCGCCAAGGCCATGCACGATGCACGATGCAAAAGGATCATGAATAGGCTTGACGTACGTCGATAATTATTATTAATTGCGGCCTTGAGCTGACGTACAGCCGTGATGGATCGTGAATAANTGAATTGCTGTTCGTTAGTCGCGCTAAAACTAGAAAACGCCTGGTCCGATTTGGCTAATTTTGGTCTTGAATTAGTCGTAGAAGTCCAGAGAAGGTTTAAAATGTAGATAAATATGAAAATGCTCGGAATTAAATAAAAATAACAATTTTGTTTTTCCTTTGGCGTGTCCCCCGTCGGACGGATTCCTTTTGTTTGTTTTAAGTTTTTTTTTTTTTTTATTGCTGAGATGGGTGGACGAGCTCACAGCCCACCTGGTGTTAAGTGGTTACTGGAGCCCATAGACATCCACAACGTAAATGCGCCACCCACCTTGAGATATAAGTTCTATGGTCTCACGTATAGTTACAACGGCTGCCCCACCCTTCAAACCGAAACGCATTACTGCTTCACGGCAGAAATAGGCAGGGTGGTGGTACCCACCCGCGCGGACTCACAAGAGGTCCTACCACCAGTAATTACGCAAATTATAATTTTGCGGGTTTGCGTCATTTGCAAATGTCGTCCTACACTTGCGGGTTTGCGTATTCGTGCGAATGTCAGTGACCCGTATAACTCTAATCTCTGTTCCCCCCAATCTATTAATCGCAAATAAATTGAGGGTAGGTACCTACATCACGTACGTAATGTCAAAATTAATCAATGTCAAAATGGAATCCTCACTTTCATTCCACATTTCTTTATTGGACGGTAATGTCGCAGTTTTCTTCGCTGGTTTTTCTACAGGTTTCGATTTTAATTCGTGTGCTTCTCCACAATCTCCATCTGACATCAAACGCGAAAGTCTGTCCTTTAACACTTCTCTATCTTCACCGCGTTTGATCGGTCGATACCTTGACCCAAGAAATCATTCGTTTTATAAAAAAGTTCTCACTTGTATAAGACAATAATAATATTAAACTTAGACGCGAAGTCTGTTGTTTCAGAATAATGACTTTTGTGGTATACTTTTAGAAACGAATGCGTTCTTCTTTTTTAACTAAAATATTTATACTGACTAGTTCAACAACCTTTCTTCCTATTAGTAAAAAAATACCTGATCCCATCATTCCATTTTCAAATAACTCTACATTTATATGATTGTTTTTTTTTATATTAATTTAATTTAACACTCACACGTCTTCGTCGAATATGCCGGAAGCACGAATAGCTGAAAGGGATCGACGTCGAGAAGTGCGAGGTCTCGTCAAAGGGAACCTGTCTTGGACGTCCCTTGTATTTGAAATGACTTCTTGTTTACGTAATTTGAGAACATCATTATGTCGCTGTGCTATGCTAAGCTTGGATTCTTCCAAAAGGACTGTTTAGGAGTGATTTATGAACGATTAATTTATTTGTTATGATATTTCGTGTAAGGATTATTAACTTGTCTATTCAGTGATATTCAGGCTATAAAGCTGTCAAGGAAGTTTGAAGTGTAGGACAGCCGTTTATAAGCCATATCCGGTGGTTTGTCAGACAGGGCAATATCAAAAACAAAATCTTAAATAATTTATCTACCCTTTATAAATTCCTGTTGTGCTGGAGTTCGATGAACTGTCTTCGTATGGAAGATACCACCGTGGGGAACATTTCTACTTGGCCATGTTACATTGACGAACCCTTTTTCATCTGGCTTCTCCATTTCGTTTGAATCTTCCAAAAATATTGTTAAAATCTGTAAAACTTATTTCGCGTATGAAATGTCTCAACAGTTTGTTGGCTATGTATTTACAAGTTTCAAATATTGATGTTGTGTTACCTTAGTTACCATCGTATAGCATAAAGAGTGTATAGAGCATAACATAGAGTTCAGCATACAGAGGTCACTACTGATTGTGCATTGATTACTAGAAATATAGGACGACGATTCAAAAAAAAAATCATTATCAAAAGTCAGTGAAAAAATGCGTCTCCGCTCCTTCCATAGGCTCTTTCAGCTGCTCAGAGTTTGATTGAGTTGAGTTCATGTCCGATTGTCATTGAATATAGGACGGGCCAAAGGGTTAAATTTAAATACATGCTTCCCTTATTAAATAATACTAAAAGCATGTACGGGTACCTATAGACTTTTATTCATATTTATTTATTTTAATTCCTTAAAGTGTTTATATATATCGTGTTACATTAATAATACGCCAGCCGCCATCTATTGTCAGATTGTATGTTACTATGTTACGAAAAGCTATTTAATTTTGATATCTTAAGTTATGTACTTCTGTATGTTTTGACATGTCCTTCTTCAAACGATGCTTGTGTACTTAACGATAGGCAGCGGTTTGGCTGTAGCGTCCCTGGCATTGCTGATGTCCATGGGCGACAGTAACCACTCACCACCAGGCGGGCCGTGTGCTCGTACGTGCGTGCTCGGCCCTACAATAAAAAAAATTCCACTAAAACAACAAGACAAAGTTAAAATTAATAACTCCGAAATTGCTAACTCTCTTATTAATATACTTATTAAATGATTCGTGGCCAAACTGGTACTAAGTTGCTACTGATGCCTAACACCACGAACGCATCCCTACTTCGCGGAAAAAGGGTAGGGCGTTACCTAGTCGTAGTTACGCAAATTATGGTTATCGAGAATTTGATTTTTATTACACGACGTCATTCCTTCCTTGTGGAAATCGTTGATGAACATGAGTCAAGTATGTATTTCATTAGAAAAACTATTGCCTCGCTGTGGGATTGGCCAACCGGCACAGTCACATTGAATCGACGTTATTGAGGCCGTTTTCAAATTACAGCACAAGAGCGCATTATGCGGCATAATGCTCAACTAAGCTTTAAGTACATACAGGTAGTTTTCCAATTACAGAGCATAATGCGACTCAGTGACGCACAATGCCGAATTATGCTGAAGCTTAGTTGAGCATTATGCCGCATAATGCGCTCTTGTGCTGTAATTGGAAAACGGCCTGAGTATTGTTTAGCTGCTTCGCGGTCTCCGCTGTACTTACAAGTGATTCGAATATTAAATACATTTATTTAGTTTCCTATGATGTGGTTTGCCTGTTGCATTATCACCTTTGATTTTACAAAAACTGCCCGCCCCACCCACGCAGTCGGAGCTGACGGTCGCGAGTTTTCAAAATATAAATCCCTAATGCATTTTACGAATTTTCGCTCGAGAAGAAATAATTGACCGAATTTGTACCTGGCTCCCTAATATGTGAAACGTACATTATTAAGTGTATTATCTATGGACAAATACCAACCATCTTCAACTAGGTATTGCGCAAAAAATTAAAAATGATTTAAATGTAAACAAAGCCTCTTTTAAAAATTAAATTGATAAGCTTTGCTTACCTAATTCTCTAAAAATAGAGAAAAATTGGATAAGGAACACTCAGAGAGGAAAAAGCAACGTATTATATCAATAAATAATAAATAAATAAAAGATAAAAATGAAATAAATCCTCTTTATGTTGCGGATAATGACATTAAAAAATTGCGAATCCGGTAAATCCGTTTCCGTTTCTAGTTCTAAATTTAATTATTTTGTTCATAATCACTGGTCAACTGTAGGCATAGTAATTAATTTAGTTTAATATGCATATAATGTCTGCGTAGTGTATTTATTTAGGAGTTTACTATACTGCTGCTCCCTTTATACTGTGAACAAAGTCTGCATGCGTAAATATAGTAAAAAATAAAATTCAGTTGGTCAAATCATACAGAAAAAAACGAATTTCACAAATGGATGATTCTATCGAACGTGTTATAGAAAATATTAAGCTCCAAGAGCAAGACAACGACGCTAAATTAAAAGAAAAGCGGGAATGTAAGCATAGATTAATAACTTATTTTGAAAGAAACTGATTTACAGAGTAGCTTTATACGTCCGCTATCATAATACCATAGAGTTAATAAGTACCTACATAAATAGCATTCATTAGATGACTGAAAGTTTGGATGTAGTCGACATTTGTGTAATGATTTTATTTTGTATTATTTATAGTGTATCGTCTATTATGTATAGTATTAGTGTATTATTTATATCTATACTAATATTATAAAGAGGAAAGATTTGTTTGTTTGTTTGTTTCGAATAGGCTTCGAAACTACTGGACCGATTTGAAAAATTCTTTTTCCATTAGAAGCCGACATTGTCCCTGATGAACATAGGCAACTTTTTTTAATATTTTTTTTTTTGGTTTCATGTGTGTTTTATTGTTTCCGAAGCGAAGCGAGGGCGGGTCGCTAGTATATTATATTCAGCAAAAAGTTCCTGATATCACATTAATTAATAAATCATCATTCACTTGAAACCAATAAAAATCGTAATGCTACACTAATAATTCTAAAAATAAGATTTCACAGACTAATAAACCTAAATTACACATTAGCAGTAAAGGGCAAATCCCTACAATCAAAACGACCCACGCTTAATTCATGATGTAACCTTTTAAAACGTTTTTTTGGTGTCCATCACATTAATGTCCGTTGGCAAGCGCAGCGTTCTTTTATAATATTAGAAAAAACATTGCTACTCATTATCCGGTGACTCCATTATTCGTCTTTTGCATTAGGGAGGGATACAACGTGACTTATTTTTTTAGTTTTTTCGACCTCTCCCTCCCCTCGGTGATCACTCGTAGTATATGCCAAGACCCCCCTCTCCCCCTTTAGTTTTCACGTAGTAATTCATAATTATGATTTTTTATTATTTCACAGGCAAAAATTGTAAAAAAAATAATTGGTTCATACTCGTCTTTATTGCATAAGATTGCATGTACACTTAAGTTACTAGTAGAATTATGTAGTGTGAGTTTACAAAGCGCTAAACACTGCGCGCTATATTCGAATATAGGTCGAAAAAATACGAGATTTCTCTCACTAAAATCGACTACGTGACAAAAACCTGAGCCACCCCCCCGCTCCTGTGACTGACCGTAGTATTTTAAAGACTCCGCTCCCCCCCCTAAACGGGTCACGTAGTATGGGTACGTTCCCTTACCTACGGGAAGATATAGGGTGATAGGTTTTTGTAGGCCGTGCTATTGTTATCACTTTGCTTTGGAGACAATTGTTTTCATAATTCATTATCTGTGAATATTTTGATGTTAATCAATAAATTGTCTTAAATTGTATTAATTCAGTCGAATCCAAGTTAATACTGTTGAAACGGAGTATTCGAGAGGTCACGTCGCAGATATCTAAACTGGACCAAGATATCCCACAATTAACAAACTCTACAGGTAAACTACAATTAGAAGTCGAGCAAGCCCGAATTCAGCGAGATGCTCTAATGCAGTTGCTAAATGATTCTAAAAACGAATTGAAAGAATTTAGGATTAAAACTGTGAGTGAATTCATATTTTTATTGTTTACTAAAAATTTCTTTATCGCTGTCGAAGTACCGGGTTTTCACCACTATTCAAGGACGGTAGCTTTACCAAGGAAGCAACCAGGTCCCTGTCTACTGTAAATAACAGATACCGAAAGCCTCCATTAAGAAGATTCTGCCAATAATTTTACATAGGATATGAGACTGGGAAGCGCTTTGAGTATAGCGCTCTCAAGATCAACTCTCTCAATTGCGGGTTTTAAAATGAACTCTTGTTATTTTCTTAAAATGAAAAAGGAAAAATATTTGTAACTCTCACTTTTATCTAGAATTCCCAAAATTACGTAAAAAAAGGCAACATTAATCAAAAAACGTCACTAGTAAGTAGAATGACAATAACAAATAACACCGTTATAGCATGGAGCAGGCGTACGACGTGGAACGCTCTAGGCCTTAGTAAGAATAAAATAGTAGATTTATACGAGAAGCTCTCGGTCTTCTGAGCCGCCAAACTCTCGTTCGACTGCGTTCTAGAACTGTAGCGTGGGGAGTATACTATATGGGGATTAAATTGGCAATGAGCTGCCCACTGGGTTATATTTTTATTTTTATTGCTTAGATGGGTGGACGAGCTCACAGTTCACCTGGTGTTAATTGGTTGCTGGAGCCCATAGACATCTACAACGTAAATGCGCCATCCACCTTGAGATATAAGTTCTAAGGTCTCAAGTATAGTTACAAAGGCTGCCCCACCCTTCAAACCGAAACGCATTACTGCTTCACGGCAGAAATAGGCAGGGTGGTGGTACCTACCCGTGCGGACTCACAAGAGGTCCTACCACCGTAGGAGATCTCTCCTACTCCTTCGTACCTACGTAGAAATATGGAATGAGCATAGCATTGACCGGATGATGAGGAATAGATACGGGTACGTAATGGTTGAAGGAAGCTAGAATGGCAAACCCAAAATCCTTGTGTATTATCTCTATAGACGCTTATCATCATGAGATCCTTTTGCCGCAACACTCATTGAAATAGGAGTGTTTTTTTATTAATGCACCGCTTAGTTAACTAGGGTATGTTTTGGCAATTGCTCTTGTATTATACGGTCTTTGCGACCAAGAACAGTAATAGCCGGCAAAATGAAGTTTAAATCAAAGAGTTATAGAAAGGAAAATTATAAATTTATTCATTGCGCAGTGAGAGTATAGATAAATTTGTTTGACAATATTTAAAACTTTTTTTTTGCTAAGTCTCGATCGTTCTCTTCCATCCATCTACTTTCCACATGACACGTGCCGAAATAGAGCTCTGTACAGTTGTAACATTATTGAAATTGATTGAACTATAATAATATTTCGCGAAGTAAAAATCTGTACACTTTCTACTGAACAGCTCTTAATTACTCTGCGATTTGTATTTCACAAAAACACAGGAGAAAGGAATATCAACAGTTTGGAATCTACGAGCATCGCTGTGTAACTCAGTTAAAGAAATTACTGACAAATGCGATGTGCAGACCTTACTGTTGAACAATTTGAAAACCGACCTACATTCTCGACCGATGCCGATAAGTACAAATAAATTGACCGTGAATACGGAAAAATTAGAAATAGCCACAGAGAAACTGAACAGAGCTATAAAAGAAAGAGATTATTTATTGAGAGAACCTGAGATCGGGGATGAGTATATTCGGTAAGAGTTTTAAATGTAGTGTAGTAATCTGTAGCTCCGGAAACCTTTCCAACTGTATTATTTTAGAAATTGCGAAATAAATGAGGTCACATGGGGTATCGGCTCAAAAACGTTAATACTATTTAGATTAAATTTTACACGGCGCATTAAAATAAATTTAAATGAATGCCTTCTAAATTAGGCACATGTGAATTTTTTTGTTTAATACATAATTAAACACTAGATTATTTCCTTTAATATAAAATAATTATGAATGATAAGTTCCAAACGAGTCTCCCATTTTATCAATATATCTAGTAGAGTTAAAAAAAATATGTTAATAGCATCAGTTTAAAACGACACAAACGCTCTTTCCACGCCAAAAAGGCGCCATGTCGTCGAATTGCAGAGAACTGTTTGCTTTTCAAGATGTTTTCGCTCTTTTCTTCATAAAAATTTAGTTTACGATTGAACTAAATATCATTAAATTGGAAATTTATTTCATTATTAGACAGTTTAGACACTGAGTGGTGGTTAATTAGTTTTTTTTATATTTTCAGTATTAAAAATGCTTTAAGGTATTCTGAAACAAAAATCACTAGCATTTTAGAAAAAAATATGAATTTTTTAGATTCTCATACGTAACTGTCAAGGTAAGAGCTTTGTATTACTAACATTATTTTGGGACACGAAATTGAATAATAGTCTATAGAATAGTCTTGAATATCAATTACTTCTAAGCAGCTTCTTCATATCTTAAATTTCGTGTACAATGTGATGAGGTCATAATATTAATTAATTCTATATATAATAAATACAATAATATTTTCACTAAGGAAAACCTAAGACACAAAGTTTGCACACACATTTTACTGGATTCTTGAAGGGAACAAAGGAAAGCAGCAAAGTAGGACGTAGGTACCGCACCTATTAAGTAGGATGTCAATGTCAACTGTCATTTGGTGTTGACACTGTTGACTTGTTATGTCATTGCAATTGCTTTGAATTTGACAGATTGACCGAAAAACTTATTAATTTGTAAAATAATTTAGTCAAATGCAAAACCTACAATCTAGATTCGATACTGTGAATTGTGAAACTATAAACTTTTCAAACGAATCAAAATAGTGTTAAGCATAAAAGTAGGAAAAAATGTTGAGAAATCTAAATTATTTAAGGTGACCATTTAATCCACAGCTTAATATTGTATAATAATGCTTAATATTAACAAGTTTATGTTTACAGGCATTGTTTTCGTGTTAGCGGAATTAGATCTAAAAGCAGCAATGTTGAAATTAACGAAAATGAACCGGTAAAATTTTCAACGAGCAGAGCTGCCTCTAGAGGTCCCGTTCCTTTAATCAGCAAAATAAATGATGATATGCCTTGGTACCAACCGTACGTAGTCATCGGAAGCGTTGCAATCTTCATGTTATATTTTTGTGTTTTGAGGGAAGAAAGTGACATTGACCGGGAATTCGACAAAACACTTTATGATAGGATTAAAGGGTTAGAAAAAGAACAACTCCTCCAATCATACAGATACAATAAAGAACATGGTAAAAGTGTTATTGAAATCGAAGAGAGATTGCTGGAAATTGAGAAGGCAGAGAAGGAACTACAGCTTTGAGTATAATATCAATAGATTTGTTTTGTAGATGTTTAAAAGTATCATTAAAGAAAGTTAATTTATTTACTATGACAGTGTTATTTTATAACCATCCTCAGAAGTCCTCTGCTGAACATATTCTCATCCTTGGATTTTCAAAGTGACAATGCTAATCTTGTTGATTTTGTAAGATTAATAAGTTAGCTACACTTAATTACTCCTCTAAAAATAAAAATAAATATGAATTAAGGAAGTCAAAATTCACAGTATCAAGTGTACTAAAAGTTGAAAGATTGTGTTTACGACATGTGAGGAAAAGCTAATCTACAAGTTAAACTTATACATAATTTTGTGTATTTATTATTTGGTGTGCTTATATTATTAGTGAACGATGTTAATTTACAAATGCCACTATTTAGCAAAAATTTTTTCTAATGAAGTACATATGAATCATATTCACAAATGACTTCCACAATGAAGAAATAACATGATTTAATAAATTAAATGAATCAAAATTTTAATTTCGTTAATATTTTTTTTACAATTGCAATAAAGTCCTCAAATCTGTTAAGTGGTTCATATTGTGATGTCATGGGCTCTGCAAAATATATTAAGTGTATAATCTGTGTCTGCAAACCACTTAACATCAGATGTCTATTCACTCTTTCACTTGTCTAAGTAATAAATTTATACTTTAAGTTTGAATATATACTTATATATTAAATACACAAAAAAAGAACAAACTAATCTGTCACACATTTGTCTGATATGTTAATAGAACCCATGGCCACAAGTAGTTTTAATAAAACAAAACCAGACAATGGAATTCCAGTCGCCTGTTGTGAATAAAATGTTTGATAATTTCATTATTAAAATTTGCATTTGGTTGTTTTCATTGAAAACAATCCCATGCATTATTGTTTCCGTTTTTGCCCATATTTCCAAATCCATTTTGGAAATTCCATGCTGTAGTGTAGCTAACTACAACTTAACTTGCCATTTTTATGTATTTTTTTACTCTTCTGTACTTTGTTTGAGACATACTATTAGAGAAATACATAAATAGGAGTGGACAATCCAACAAATGAAACAACCTAAATGATAATCCAGCTTTATCAGAAAATCCCTCACCTATGATTTGCCGTACTGGATATACATATCAGTGGGGTTTATCCATAATCACTATTACAGTTATGAAGTGATTTTTTTTAAGAATCGTATAGGACATGCTAAGTCATTAACACTCGAAACTTTAAGCTTATCTCATAGTGAACAGCAGCCATATGTATATTTATAATTAATAGATTCAGGTAATGACTTAGTGTCAAGTGAGTAGTGAACTCATCTGGCCCTCGTAGCGAATAAAAAATGTAAACCACCTGCTTAACAAAACTGAAACTGACACAAAAATATTAAAAAAAGCCGTTAAGTCTAAATTAGATTTATTTAACACCAAATACTCAATTACACATTATGAATCAGTTCAAACACAGATTACTCACACGCATGTGTGGCTTGGAAATATTACCTAATAACTACTGCTAGACACAACTTACAAAGTCATTTAACACAGATCAGGCATCCATGGGCTTTTTCTGTGACTAATGAACCTTACACAATATTACATGACCATATCTTGGTTTAGCAAGAAGTCCAATTACAGAATTTTGATGAAATACATCATTCTCATACTTCATTGTAGCATACCATTATTAGAATGAAAAAAAATCAGTTCTGCCTCCTTATGATGTAATGGATATTATAATATTTAAGGTTAATTTAATATAAGTGAGACATAAAAAAGTTACAGAATTACATCTAATCAAAATTACAATTAAACTAATTTAAGCACGTTCACCACGGATTCGTCGAGCAAGTTGAATATCCTTCGGCATGATGGTCACACGTTTGGCGTGAATAGCACACAAGTTGGTGTCTTCGAACAAGCCAACGAGATAAGCCTCGCTTGCCTCCTGAAAGGTTCCATAACAATGTTAGCATTTAGGTTCAATTTAATAATAAAATTTTCTGTCGCTTTTAGATCGACAAGGTCTTATGGGTCAGAATATCAATTATGCAAAAACTATGCACATGTTGAAATACATTAATCATAGGTACCTGGAGAGCTCCGATGGCGGCAGACTGGAAACGCAAATCAGTTTTGAAATCCTGAGCGATTTCCCTCACAAGACGCTGGAAAGGCAGCTTACGGATAAGCAACTCAGTAGACTTCTGATAACGACGAATTTCACGAAGGGCCACTGTACCAGGGCGATAACGATGTGGCTTCTTGACTCCACCAGTGCTCGGCGCTGATTTTCGCGCCGCTTTTGTAGCAAGTTGTTTACGCGGAGCTTTACCTCCAGTAGATTTACGGGCTGTTTGTTTAGTACGAGCCATTGTTTACTGAAATAAAATTTTACACAATACATATCGACATGACTTAGTTTGGCAAACAATAAATATCAATAAAAATTTCTACGATGAAGTTAACACAACAAATTATATCTCCTTAAAGCTATTAGTAAATCTACACACCTTTTTTAATGTTTTTCACAAGTTAAGCTACTAATTTTCTATTATTTTAGAATTTATTGACCAATTTCACAACAACGATCATATGCTCAAAATGGCGTCGGAGAGAATGGCGGGTGAAACTGACGCCAAGCTCTTGTGAACTGATTGGCTCTCAGAGGTTCATTTCAACGTTTACCATTGGTTACTATACTCAGCTATTTGATTGGTGTTTTGCATTCGTCTTTCTTGAATGCTATTGGTTATGCACTTTTTAGTGTGATTTATTTTGATTTATATTTCGATTTTTTGAGGAGAGGCATAGAAGTCTCTTACATATGTTACGAAAAAATATGATATCACACATACAATTCCGCGACAAATCACTATGCAATTACTGACGTCCTAAAGCGATGGTAACCGCTCATCCTCAGATGGACCATATGCTCGTCTAGGTTGAAAGGAAAAATCTATACAGAAATTACTTTATTTCCAACCTACCAAATATCAGTGTCCATACACCACTCTTCCCATCTAAATGGTAAATTCGTAAACATGTATTATTACATCACATTTTTAAAATGAGTTTATCGTCTGTTTGTACCACTGATGAAGAAAAAGTTGAATTCATTTTAAAAATGAACTGGTTTAAATTTGATCAGATTCAAGTCGTCGTGGCCTAAAGGATAAGACGTCTGGTGCATTCGTATGTAGCGATGCACCGGTGTTCGAATCCCGCAGACGGGTACTAATTTTTCTAATGAAATACGTACTTACCAAATGTTCACGATTGACTTCCACGGTGAAGGAATAACATCGTGTAATAAAAAATCAAACCCGCAAAATTATAATTTGCGTAATTACTGGTGGTAGGACGTCTTGTGAGTCCGCACGGGTAGGTACCACCACCCCGTCTATTTCTGCCGTGAAGCAGTAATGCGTTTCGGTTTGAAGGGTGGGGTAGCGGTTGTAACTATACTGAGACCTTAGAACTTATATCTCAAGGTGGGTGGCGCATTTACATTGTAGATGTCTATGGGTTCCAGTAACCTCTTAACACCAGGTGGGCTGTGAGCTCGTCCACCCATCTAAGCAATAAAAAGAAAAAGAAGATATCTCCCAATTCAATTAACAAAAAAATCTGTTATTTATTGTAATTACTTAAAATTGTTAATGGGTAAGTAATTTGTTGGACTCTTTTGAACAGAACATAAATAAAGTAACGTAAATAAATTTCACTTATGTGACCGAGTTATAAATAGTTTATAACATAGCCAGTTTTTATTCCATTCCCAATCGGCAGGACAGGATCTTCGATTGTCCGCCTGCCTGTCGTCAACACTTTAAGCTATAAAGGTCACAATAAGGCAAGATGAAAACTACATAGTCCTCATCCCAACAAATTATAGATAATAGTTACAAGTATAGCATTATAAATAATAGTTACAAGTGGTAGGGAACCCAAATGGGTTAGGAGAATGGGCACTCGTACTATTTAATGAAAAGCACCAAACTAATATAATCTAAAGCGTAAAAAGGAATGCAACTTTCCAAATATTTTATCTCAAGATGCATGTGGCAAAATATTGAAGATAGAAAGAAACAAACAGAAAACACAACAGTCGATGTGACATTTCTGCTGTCACGAATGTTATTTGATAGGTTTTTTTTCAAAACCCATGAAAATAAAAGTTTTTAATGTTTTGGACTTTCGTTATTTTTGTTTAAATGGATCGCATAACTTATTTTCATCCATTTATAAAAGTAAATTCTTATAAAAATAGCTGTTTAAGATTAGTTCGGAAAAGTGATTGAATTTAATTGGTTGGCGGTAAGCGTACCCTGCGCGACGCGAAAGGCGCAGTAATACCTAGTTTTCCAAAATGCCGTCGGAATCCAAGCCTTTGTTAACAGCCCAAACCGAAAAACCGAATCATTACAAGTAACGAACCATTTAGTTTACAAAATTTGAAGTAAACGTGATGTGATGTCGGTGAACATTAAATTGGAGTTGTTGCATTACAGATATCTAAAAGAATTCCGAGTGGAGCAGTGTCCATCTTTTCTCCAACATAAATGTACACAACACAGGCCGTTTACGTGTTTTCATTGGCATTTTAATAATCAAAGGAGACGCAGACCTGTTAGAAAAAGAGACGGGACCTTCAACTATAGCGCCGACAATTACTGTACGAAGTACAACGAGACGTCGGGCGTTTGCGAAGACGGAGACGAGTGAGTACTATAACACGCTTTGTTTACCTAAACATTTTGTAGAAAACAAAATATACTTGTTTTTCGTAACCCTAATACATTTAAAAAGCTTCTGTTCAATGTTCTGATGTATACAAAAATCACAAAACATCTAAAAAAGTTGTTTATTTTGACAAAACAAAATTTACTGTAGTGCTCGAGTTTGGTATTTGAATAAAATAATGTTTAATTTATTTCATTTTGTAATTTCACTTGTCATTTTTTCACAAGAACAATACTATAAGTATCAGAGGATTGCGTATCACAGAAGTAATTGAAATTAAATGATAAAGTTTTGAAATTGATATGTTTAACTTTTTCGTGTGTATTGAATATAATTTATATCTAGTGTTTGGAAAGAAGCCCTTAATTGTAACATAATTTAGAAATTAAAGTGCTCAACTTTTTCATTTTCTGTGAATGCTGATTTTTTTTGGAAAAAAAAAAAAAACAACTGCGTAATTTAATGATTGTATTACCTAATAATTCATCCAATTCAATCAAATAATGTGTCATAGTGTTTACACATTTTGTTCATAAATTAATATTTGTTAGACACTAAGAAAACTATGCTGTTTGATCACAGATACTTGTAGATGTTTTAACAAAAAGTTTTAAGTACATATGTTGCTGAAATTAATACCAATGGCTTACATTGGGCAAACATTCACGTAATGAACAGGTTTGTTTGCTCTTTGTGTGAGTGTTTAATATCTATATATATGTATGTATTTAAACTTTGTTTATTATCTATCAATAAAAATATATATTATATATCAGTCTCAGTTCCACAGTGCAGGCAATCCTAGTTTGGAATCAGATGACTGTGTGTGACTTCTTTATAGGTATAAAAAAAATAGTTTACCAAAGCGTATTCTTCAAATTTTCACATGCTGCCATTGGTATTGCGGTAATTGACATCCAAGCTATACAGCCAGTCTAAATAAGTCATCACACATGTGAAAGTGATGATAAACTTAGGCAATTGGCAAAGTATTATGCAAAAGCAAAAATACACCATAGTCTACTGCTAAAATAAGTTTTCAAACGTTACTGGAATTAGCCTGTGTTGTTGTGCTCAGGAAACACTCAGGAGAGGAGTTCATTCGTAGTATATGGCAAAAGGATATATTGAAATTCTGTACGGAAGCAGAAGTTTCAGGTAGTAGGGATGTATCTCTGCTTTGGTGTTGAGTGTTGGGATGATCAAAAGGCCGTGATGGGTTCTTTTTAAAAAATTCTGAGAGTATACCACGTTTTTTAGTTGAATCATATCAACAATAGTGCTGTAAGATTATTATTATTATTATTTTTTGTTAATTTCATAGTCGAGCAATTTAAATTTACATTACATGTTAAACACAAATATTTCTTGAACGAATACAATGCGGAGAGAAGAAAATCGTGCGATTTATCATAATTGTATATATATCATTAACAAATGTGCACGCATCAGGTGTCCGTTCCTGCATCGCACGGCGGGCGACACGGAGCGACGATATCACTTGCGCTACTACAAAACTTGCATGTGCGTACACGACACGGACACGCGCGGCCTCTGCACCAAGAACGGGGCGCATTGCGCGTTCGCACACGGCGCGCCCGACCTGCGTCCCCCCGTGCTGGACGTGCGCGAGCTGCACGCACTCGACGCGGACGACGACGCCGCGCCCAACGCCCTCGACCGAGAGCGGAACCTCATCAACGAAGACCCCAAGTGGCAAGGTACTGTCTGCAACAGCACAGACGTGTAATTCTGGGTATAGGCCTTCCCAGAGCCTCGCCACAACGACCGGTCCTGCGCAGCCTACATCCAGCGGGTACCCGCGAATTTTGACAGGTCTGGCTACCTCGTGGGAGACTTACCCACGCTACGTCTTCCGGTATGCGATCGCCACTTGGTATCTTTTCGGTCCCAAACTCCATGTCTTCTATGAGCTCAATGTGCCCTGCCCACTGCCACTTCAATGTCGCAATTCTTTGGGCTATGTTATGTTATTATGGCTACCATGGTTTTCCTGCAATATGTTATCTCTTCATTCCTGATTTGATCTGTGCATAGACTCTCTTTGGGTGACCTTGAACTTTCTGATAAGGCGACAACATTATACAAGATTAAAAATATATTAGATGAAATGTAAATAGATGTTTTAACTGAAATTGACAAGTTTACTTGTTCACAGATACAAATTATGTCCTGTCATCATATAAAACGGAACCATGTAAAAGACCTCCTAGGCTTTGTAGACAAGGGTATGCATGCCCTCAGTATCATAATAGTAAAGTGAGTGATAAGGATTTGTTAATTGAAATTATAAATAAATATTTGAAATACAACAAGTATAAAACATAATAAATTCTATCAATTTGCAGGATAAACGTAGGTCTCCTAGAAAGTATAAATATCGCAGCACACCATGCCCAAACGTGAAGCATGGTGAGGAGTGGGGCGAGCCCAGCAATTGTGAAGCCGGTGACACTTGTGGGTACTGTCATACGCGGACGGAGCAGCAGTTCCATCCAGAAATCTATAAATCCACAAAATGCAACGACGTTCAGCAGGCGGGATACTGTCCACGAGGCTTGTTCTGCGCCTTTGCGCACGTTGAGCCCGAAGAACCTGGCGGCCGCGAGCCCGGCCCCGGCGACTGCGGAACCAGTCTCGCGGACTTGCTGTCCTCCGCGTTGCCCGACAAGAAAGATCGCTCTACAACCCCTTCCGGTCCTCTCACAAATGGCGCCGGTGACGGATCTGAATGCGCGTCCACGTCCAGCGGGGGATCTGGTCCGCAGGCTGCGCGTGCTCGGCCTCTGCCTTTCGATACCGCCGTGCTGCAGGAGGTGGTCGGCTGTGCACTTGACGATCTGCACCTCGATGACCCCATCAATCTTGTCGCGGCTCTGGACCGCGATCTCTCGGACGGCGAGGGCGCGCTCGCGGGCTCCGCTCCCGTCAACATTCCGTCGGCGCGACCCGCCCTGCGCGGGTTCAGTCCCCCGGGCGGCTCACCGCTGCCGGCCTTCCTGCGATACGGACCCGACGCGTTCGGTCTCAAGGCTGGCAGCTTCGGCGCGTTCGAGGGCGGCGGCTGCGAGGTGTCGCGGCTGCGCGAGGAGGTGGCGGCGGCGCGGGCGGCGGTGGCGCGGTGGGACGAGCGCGTGGCGCAGGCGCGGGCGGCGTGCGAGGCGTGGCAGCGCGAGGCGGAGGACGCGGCGCGCAAGGCGGCGGTGGCGGAGCGGCAGCGCGACGAGGCGCTGGCACACGCGCTGGCGCTGCGGCGCGAGCTGGACGCGCTGGCGCCGCGCCGGGACCCGCGGGCGCTGTCGCTGCCGGCGCTCAAGGCGCTGCAGTCGCGCGCGCGGGCGGACCTCGAGGAGATCGAGAAGGCGTTGTACCTGGAGACGGCCACCAAGTGCATGAGCTGCGAGGAGCAGCCCCGCAGCGTCACGCTGGCGCCGTGCAACCACTACGTGCTGTGCGACAAGTGCGCGGGCACCACGGACCACTGCCCCTACTGCCAGACCCCGGTGCAGAGACACCAATAGCGTCGGCGCCGCCTCGTTCCGGTTGCTGTTTGAAATACTGCTCTTCGAGTGCCACTTGGACCGTACGTTAATATTCACCATTGTCAAAGGTAAATCATAGAGAACAATATCTCATGGAAAACTATCGATCGCGAGGTCATTGACATTCGTCTTCTGTTAGAGTGTCGAACAAAACACTTAACAGAAATGCGTTGCGTCAAGGTTTTCTCGCTGCTTTAAGAGCTTGCATTATTCATTTGGAAGGGACAGGAGCTTATGCTCCTGCATTGCGTTTGCATTTATTAATACTGATACGAAAATATATACTTAACAATACAATAAGAATTTAAGATCTGCCGCTATTGACCAATATTAAAATGACAAAATAATAATAAATATGCCACTTGGACACTTTTAAATTTGATGAAAATAGTAGATGTAAGTTAACAACAAACTTATTCTGAAGAATAAAAAGAACAAAAGCTATTTCAGTAGAAACTTATATTTTGTGGTAATCTGTCTTGTGAATCACGAACTAGTTTTGGAGCTATTTTCTGCATATGTATGAGAGAGGTCTATTGAACAACCAAAAACCATGAAAGATGTATTGGCAACATTGTTAAAAAATACAAAATAATTTATATTAAAGTAAGAAGCCTTGGAAATCTGTAACCACGGTCTTATTTCACATTTGGAATTTAATGAAGTTGAAAGTCAAATTCCTTTTTTAATCAATATCCAAGGAATTTTGTCATTAAAAAAAGATATGCATAAATAGACTAGGGTTAAGGAATGGAAAAGCAATAATAAGAAAAATGTCGTGCGTATAACCCGCGCATTACATATTTTAGGAACTTGTAATCGTGATTTTGAACTGAAAATACAAAATATAATTATAATTCAATTAGTATTTACAGCAATCGTGTATTCATTGACATTGCTGTGTACCTTTAGTGTACTTTTTAAACTAGTACTATGTTAGGGCGAGGCACACGTTCAGTGTACAAAAATCACTTACCCACATCCCGTGATAAGGCTGTGTGTACATGTTCAGACTGACACACTATATTGCATTTTTTTTATTTTAAAAAAGGGCAGTAGTGCGTTGGATTGTGCACAGTAAAGGGTTCAGTATCTAGGAACGTTTGTGACTAAAATTAAACTGAAAATTAATATATAAACCAAACTAAACTATTGTTTGATCGCTTACTCTAAACGCCTTGTTCTCAAATATACACTCCGATGAGCCTTTGGCTTGTCTTAACGACATATAGTCACACATGTGTGTCTCGTGTAGTTCTAGCATAATTTTGATTTGAAAAAAATGTATATTTTGTATATTATATTATATTATTTATACATTAATATCGATCAATGTCTGTACGATTGTTGTAATGCAGAAATATAGTGTTGCACATTTTTAATAATTTTATAAACACATAATAATGTTGGCATATTTAACATAGAGTTTAAAATAATGCAGTTTATAGTCTTACACATATATATATTAATTATATACTACGCCCCTTCTCGCTGAGTATATGTTTAGATTGTAGTTTTCTGTAGCGATTTGGGTTTAGTTCGCACAAAGCCTCGTGTAGTTATAAAAACATAAAGAATTGTTTTTTTTCTCAGAGAAGAATAGCTCATGCAAGTCAATCAAAATTAAGAATTATATGCAATTTACTATGTATATGTATGTAGTTGATAGAGGGCTTACTGGACTTTACTAAAGTAGGACATTACACTAAATTAGTGTATTTATTTTTTGCGCCATAATCCTGAAAATTCATTAACTAAAAGGACCAATAAACGAAACGAATATAAAGTAACATTTTAATAATAATAATCATCATAGAAAGATAACGCATATTTAATCTGTTTGAAATAAATAGTTTTTGTCTATGGTTCGTACACGCTTGGAGCTTCCAATAATTATTGAATGTTATTTAAACAATAGTCAAGGTTGACTTCTCACAATGTTTTTTATTTTTTTTAATTGTTAAATCATCGCCGTATACAATTTTGCGATCGTTGGTAATTTCTCGCAGTTATACGTAGTTTTCCAATTACAGAGCATGATGTGACTCAGTAACGCACAATGCCGAATTATGCTGAAGCTTAATTGGAACGTGAATTAGTTTTCAAATGCATCAGCGGAGTGCGCTAAGTTAGCACGGTTTTAATTAACATTGATTATTTCTAAGAAACTACGATGAAACTAAAGCCTTACAATATTTTTCAACATTAAATAATATTACTAACGATAATATAAAACAAAATTTCGATCAATGCCAACTTAAAGAAAAAACACTTGTCAATTTTCTGTAACTGAGTCGGTATCGATTGCGAGTATCACGCGAGAGCAGTACTTTTGAGAGTGCTCGATTGTGCGAAACGTTGCTGTAGTTGGAACATTCAACGTTGAGCATTATGCCGCATAATGCGCTCTTGTGCTGTCATTGGAAAACTACCATAGTAATAATGTTTCATTAGGTGTTTGTCGCATTTCCACAGATTATATCTTATGAACGTTGATAATCTTTATGACTTGGCAATTGAAAGTTTGTATATTGTTTTAAATGAAAAGAGTAACTAGATTGTATTCGATTAAATGCATTTTTATATTAACGTTTTCATGTGAATGTAGAATCTTGATAAGAGTTCAAACGTTGGAAGAGTAGTTGTCAAATTGAAAAATCTGATTTCTGTGGTTGAGATAAGATTCATTTTTCTTTAGACATTTAAAAAAAAAACTTTCGTACATTTTAGATAGAAATGATGGGTTTTTCGTTTCAATGAGCCGTAGGAGATCGTTATATGTGGATGTTAGTAATTTAAATACGGCACGTAAATGTTCATAGCGCTTTGAGATTCTTTTTTTTTTTTGTCCATGACTCGGCTTTTTGTCCTTAGCATTATACGAGACCTAAAAATACTGTGATCCTTTACAGAGATTTCATCTCATCTCACAATACTGTTTTAAAATACCAAGGAATTTCACTGTCTCCGTAGCTGAGAAGGTATTCCATTTTTTTCTTCAAAAGTCAAAAGGAACGTTGTTTTTTTAAAGTAGTCGTGATACTCTGTGGATCATTGAATTTTCGTTATTGTGTTGTCATGGTAACAAAACCCCAGGCATGGTGAAGGCGATGTGGTAGTATATAGTCGACAAGTGTACTCGCAAATGTAATCTGTAGCGTTTGAGGCAAAAGGATTTGTTGGAGTTGGTAATTGTTGTCTTAAAAAAAATTCTAATGTTTTTTATAAGAAAATTCACAACACAAAATTTTTGTATTGAAATCTTTTTATTTTATACGAACGTAATCTGATTAGACGCTGTATTTTTGTTAAGGCTATTTATATTCATCTATCTATGTATTTCAGATAATTATATTGAAGTGAAGTGTTACAAGTATTTTATTATTATTTTTTTTTGTAACTTTAAATATTTAATTATAGTGACAAAACAAAATTTGTATTAGCGTTTAAAAAGAATTTAGATTTAAGTAGTATTTTTTCAAATTTTAATCGACCTTGGGAATTCAGAACGAAAGCGACTAATAACGACAAAAAAACTGGATAATATTTATTATCTACCATAAATAGGATGTGTTTTTGCAATAATTAACAGTTACGAATTGAATGCAAATAAATTAAAAGTATGTTTTTTTTTTGTATGTGTATTTCATGGATATTTTTTTGTATGTATATAATAATTATGTATTTCAATTGTTCTCGACGGTTATTAAACTTATTCTTTTGTCAAATTCTCTCATGTTATCAATGTCTTAATCGCGGAGAGGTGGTGTTTTCAATTGAATTTGTTTTATTTTTTTAATGAGTCGTTTTCGTTCCGTATTCATAAAGTTGGATATAGATAATATCGTAAGATTAAACATAATAATATGTTATTTAAGTAAGTAAGTATGTAGTGGCATATGTCGCAATATCGTAACTGAAGCAATACGCGCCCGTTTGCCTTTTGATATTTTGTGTACGTCTACTTTCTGATTATAATAAAATCCAGTTTTTGGGTAAAATCGATGTAATGATGCGTTAGGTACATTTGTTAATGTTTTGACAATGAGCAGTCTAGTTGACGTAATGTTAGAGCCCACTTACAGAATAACGGTAGGGTAATTAACACTATAATTGACCGATTGTTTGGTGTTCGTATTTAGAATTCAGAAACTGTTTTGCTATTTTGATTTTTTATTAAATTTTACGTGACAGCCCTATCGGGGTATCCGTTGATATCTGCTACGAAAACTCCATATATCCTTTACATTTAATAATAAGCAATACGCATAGAACTTTGTGCTTGGTGCGATTTTTGTAAACGTTCTCGATAGCGTAAAAGTTAACTCGAAATTTGTATGCAGTTGGAACAGCGCCCCTAGCGGCAAACGTAGGAACCCTATCCAACTCCATACAGATTTGAGTTAACTCTTACGCTATCGAGAACGTTAAAAAAACTCGCACTAAGCACACAGGATAATAAAAAAACGAACAATTTAGAGTCCGCAATATGAGTCGACTAGTATCAAAGCCGGCAATGTGACTTTTGGACAATTATTGGTAAATCAGAAAAACGAATTATTGACTTTGTATTCCATTGGCAGTCACAAAACTCTTCGGAACGACATCTTAGATAAATAACAGGTTAAGTATTAACCTTTATTTAATGCAGGTTTTGAACCGCATTCTTTGAAGGAGACGATTATATTCAAATCAATCTGTATTGACATATCAATAACATTTTGTTGTCCAAATGCACAGATTGCCACCTTTGATAATAGACGACTCATATTTGATATTTTAGTGGCAATTACAGTGTAGTTCACCCATTACCAAGTACAAAATAGTATATAGCGCTCTTATATTAAAATTTTAATATTGTGTATTATTCCCTCAACACGCATTTTGCGGACTTTTAGTATCCTATTGTGTTTATTAACACCCGCTAATGTGGTACGTGTTGTAACTTTTATACGTATCTAAGGTTATCTTTGTTAATAGTAACAGAAAAAACAAATTACGGATGGCATACAGCAACGCACGTATGGTTCGGAGGTGGGGGTCTTTGAAAGAGCTTGCATGTTACGAAGACCGACCGTAAAATAGTTATATATAAACTAAGAGCTTTGCACTGATGGTTACAATGGAAATTATTTACAATTTTTATTGCCTTTGTAGGCAGACGAGCATACGGCCCACCTGATGGTGAGTGGTTACCGTCGCCCATGGACTTCAGCAATGCCAAGGGCAGAGCCAAGCCGTTGCCTACCGCTAATAAATAAATATCAGCAACGGTCCCAGAGTCTACACTATTATTTCGTTTGTTTACAAAATAACTGAACTACATATTTGCGATAAAGTAGCGACATCTGTAGCGTACCTCCGGAATTAATGCGTAATAAAAGAAACAATGAGAAGTTAATCGCACTCGCGCGCTCGCGATTCATTATTGAGTCAGCGTCACACACGTATAACGTCCCGATAATTACCTAAATCATGATGCACTAAAACGACTGAGTCTTGAAATTCAAAGTTAAATTAAAAACTGTTGCTGTGCGAGGGATGCACCGAGATTGAACGAAGGGTTTTTTAATACGAGATATATTTATATTTATGTAAGCGGTACATATGAAAAAAATGAAACTTTTAAAATTGAAAGATAAAATTTTAATAAAACCCAATATGAGGTTAAGACGTTTAAAAAAATCTCGTTGGGTTCCCGAAACAGAATGAAAACTTATTACCTCATAATTATAATTATTAATATATATATATATATATTGGATATTTACATCTTCGTGGAGTATCGAAATGTGTTTGAATAGTTTTTTATATTGATGGCGTAATGCAAAATGTACTGTGTGGCCATAGGTTGTAGTGGTTGTAGCTTGCTAGCGTTTTTCAAATTTAGACGTGTATTAGAGATCATATTTATTTTTATATACTTAGATTTATATATCACATGGAGAGACTCATCAAATCCTATATCGACTTTATGTACCTGCTTCTTTATTCTAAATGTAAACAGAACAAAACGTTTATAAAATTATATATTTATTAATAAATACGCGACCGTTAGATTTTAATTACCAAAAATAAATTAATAGGGAATGTATTGTTTTAAATTGTCAATGTGTAATCAGAATTTATTATAATCGTTTGATAGTAAAAAAATCACATTTTATACTCTATTATAAATAAATAAATAGATACGATTTTAAATTTTACATAAATCCTACCTTTATGCTTAATCAAGAACACGGATGTATTCGGTAAACATTTTTTATTTTTGGTAATAATACGTTATAGAGCACATAAAAAAAAAACATTTTCAAATTTAAATAATTGTCATAGTTTTATATAATATTAGAACGTTCACAAAAAGAGAAAGGATTATTAGAGTTGTTATTATCTGCTGCGTTTTCAGGAAAGTCTAATTCATGACTAAGTAATTAGTTAATGTAAAAAATACTTTTTTATAAAATTAACTAATTACTGATATACGTTAAACACGTAACNAGCACATAAAAAAAAAACATTTTCAAATTTAAATAATTGTCATAGTTTTATATAATATTAGAACGTTCACAAAAAGAGAAAGGATTATTAGAGTTGTTATTATCTGCTGCGTTTTCAGGAAAGTCTAATTCATGACTAAGTAATTAGTTAATGTAAAAAATACTTTTTTATAAAATTAACTAATTACTGATATACGTTAAACACGTAACCAACAAACCACTTTTGAGTCAGTGTACACAGCCGTATTGTCTGATTTATGATGAAACTACCTTAGTTTTGAGCCAAAATAATCATAGTGTGCTTAGTCCGAGTTTTTTTAACGTTCTCGATAGCGTAAAAGTTAACTCAAGTTTGTATGGACTTGGATAGGGTACCTACGTTTGCCGCTAGGGGCGCTGTTCCAACTGCATACAAATTTGAGTAAAATTTTACGTTAAAAAACTCGCACTAAACACACAGTTCGAAAGGATCATAACTGCCTATTATTTTGGTTGTTTTTGTGATACTTGCCCGCGGTATTGTTCAAACGGGTTTTCTCTTGATGAGGAGGCTGCTTCTGAAATGGTCCATACGGAGGGGTTTAGTAAAGACCAGTGTGCTTAGTGCAAGTTTTTTAACGTTCTCGATAGCGTAAAAGTTAACTCGTATTTGTATGGAATAGGATCGTTTGCGTACGTTCGCCGCTAGGGGCGCTGTTCCAACTGCATACAAAATTGGGTTAACTTTTACGATATCGAGAACGTTAA